AATGGTCTTGTTACCACGATCTCTTACAAATTCCACTCCCAAGCAGTAGTGCAATTCTTCCAAATCACTCATCTCATATTCCTTCTCTAATTTGGCCTTCATCCAATCCATCTTTTCCATATTGTTAGCCAAGATGATCAAATCATCAACATAAAGGATTAAAGTCAGCAAAAACTCTCTAGTTTGCATCACATACAATGAATGATCAGCCTCATTCCTCACAAACCCTTCATTGATAAAAAAAAAAAAAAAAAAGGTGTCAATTTGTTGGTACCATACCCTTGGTGATTGTTTCAATCCATATAAGGATTTCTTCAATTTGCACACAAGATGTTCTTTGCTTTTTTGTATAAATTCTTGAGGTTGGTCCATGTAGATGTCTTCTTATAATTCTCCATTCAAAAAGGCCGTCTTTACATCCATTTGGTGTATTTCCAAATCCATTGCTGCACCAATTGCTACAATGGTCCTAATGGTGGTGAATTTGGCAACGGGTGCATAAGTCTCATTAAAATCAATTCCAACAACTTGTGAATATCCTTTAGCAATTAGTCTTGCCTTGTGCCTCACCATCACATCCATTGCATCTCTTTTAGTCCTAAACATCCACTTACAACCAACACTAGATCGATTTGTTGGAAGAGGTACCAATTTCCATGTACCATTGTCCATAAGAAATTGGTATTCTTCTTCCATAGCCTTCTCCCACTTGATTGCATCTTCACACTTCATAGCATCATACAAAGACAATGGATCAACAAGAAGAACAACATTTGCATGTTCTTCACTTACTTGAGGGAAGATGTGATCCTTCTACCATTCGCCACGTCGCCTTCTTTCTCTCAAAAGATATCTCCTTTCACTTATAGAAGAATATTCACCTTGTTGCACTCTATGTTCTTTTTCAACCTTCTTCTCTCTTAAACCTTGTCGTTTCTCACTCAATGGTTGATACTCTTTATCATTATCATCATTCCAATCTCCAACATCTTCATTTCTTTCATTGTTGGTCTTAGCAATTGTAGGAGCCTTCATCTTTTCAACCTTCTTTGGCTTTTCATCTTCATCATCTTCATTATCTTCATCTTCTTGTTTTTTTGCTGAATTCAAAGATGTATCCACAAACACACCATTACTCCCACTTGGACACATCTCCAAGTGCTCACAAGCACTCTTATGCTCCAAAAACTTAGCATCACAACTATTGGTGATCTTCTTGGTTTCCAAGCACATTAGCCTATATGCCTTAGTACCTTCACAACAATCAAGAAATATACACTTTGTACCTTTTGCATCAAGTTTGGACCTCATACAATCTAGTATTTTTTTATATGCAATGCACCCAAAGGTCCTGATATGGAAAATGCAAAGTTGTCTCTCACTCCAAGCTTCTTGTGGTGTCATTGATGCAAGAGCAATTGTTGGACACGTATTTCATGTGTACATTGGATTCACGACAACTTTCATCCAAGAGTCATAGCCAAGTTTTGGACGAAAGCTTAATCCAAGAGTCAAAACCTTAGCTATAAGTTTTGGACGAAAGCTATGGTGAATGCAATGTACACAAGAAATAGATATCCAACAATTGCCCTTGCATCAATGACACCACAAGAAGCTTGGAGTGAGAGACAACTTTGCATTTCTCATATCAGGACCTTTGGGTGCATTGCATATAAAAAAATACTAGATTGTATGAGGTCCAAACTTGATGCAAAAGGTACAAAGTGTATATTTCTTGATTGTTGTGAAGGTACTAAGGCATATAGGCTAATGTGCTTGGAAACCAAGAAGATCACCAATAGTTGTGATGCTAAGTTTTTGGAGCATAAGAGTGCTTGTGAGCACTTGGAGATGTGTCCAAGTGGGAGTAATGGTGTGTTTGTGGATACATCTTTGAATTCAGCAAAAAAACAAGAAGATGAAGATAATGAAGATGATGAAGATGAAAAGCCAAAGAAGGTTGAAAAGATGAAGGCTCCTACAATTGCTAAGACCAACAATGAAAGAAATGAAGATGTTGGAGATTGGAATGATGATAATGATAAAGAGTATCAACCATTGAGTGAGAAACGACAAGGTTTAAGAGAGAAGAAGGTTGAAAAAGAACATAGAGTGCAACAAGGTGAATATTCTTCTATAAGTGAAAGGAGATATCTTTTGAGAGAAAGAAGGCGACGTGGCGAATGGTAGAAGGATCACATCTTCCCTCAAGTAAGTGAAGAACATGCAAATGTTGTTCTTCTTGTTGATCCATTGTCTTTGTGTGATGCTATGAAGTGTGAAGATGCAATCAAGTGGGAGAAGGCTATGGAAGAAGAATACCAATTTCTTATGGACAATGGTACATGGAAATTGGTACCTCTTCCAACAAATCGATCTAGTGTTGGTTGTAAGTGGATGTTTAGGACTAAAAGAGATGCAATGGATGTGATGGTGAGGCACAAGGCAAGACTAATTGCTAAAGGATATTCACAAGTTGTTGGAATTGATTTTAATGAGACTTATGCACCCGTTGCCAAATTCACCACCATTAGGACCATTGTAGCAATTGGTGCAGCAATGGATTTGGAAATACACCAAATGGATGTAAAGACGGCCTTTTTGAATGGAGAATTATAAGAAGACATCTACATGGACCAACCTCAAGAATTTATACAAAAAAGCAAAGAACATCTTGTGTGCAAATTGAAGAAATCCTTATATGGATTGAAACAATCACCAAGGGTATGGTACCAACAAATTGACACCTTTTTTTTTTTTTTTTTTATCAATGAAGGGTTTGTGAGGAATGAGGCTGATCATTCATTGTATGTGATGCAAACTAGAGAGTTTTTGCTGACTTTAATCCTTTATGTTGATGATTTGATCATCTTGGCTAACAATATGGAAAAGATGGATTGGATGAAGGCCAAATTAGAGAAGGAATATGAGATGAGTGATTTGGAAGAATTGCACTACTGCTTGGGAGTGGAATTTGTAAGAGATCGTGGTAACAAGACCATTACAATGAGCCAAATCAAGTACATTGAAGAAGTGTTGAAACGATTCAACATGGAGGAGTGCAAGCCCATTGGAACACCCTTGGAGGCAAATTTGAAGTTGATGAAGCTCACGGATGAGGAATTTGTAGAAGTTGAAGGTGAGATACAAAGTGTTCCATACAAAGTAGCAGTAGGCTCACTCATGTATGCAATGGTGGCCACAAGAGTGGATCTTGCATATGCGATAAGTGTTGTAAGCCAACACATGTCTAAAGCTAGTCCAATGCATTGGACAATAGTAAAAAGGATATTGAGGTACTTAAAAGTACAAAAGACTTCAAATTTTGCCTTGGTGGTAAGAACATTGATTTGCAAGGTTATTGTGATGCGGATTGGACTGGAGATGCAAATGATAGAAGATCCACAATGGGATATGTCTTCTTCATTGGAGTGGGAGTCATTTCATGGAATTACAAGAGACAATCTACCATTGCAAGATCAACGATGGAAGCAGAGTACATGGCAGCAAGTCATTGTGCAATGGAAGCGTGTTGGATAAGGCAATTCTTAGAAGACATTGGTCTAGTGCAATTAGAAGCAATTCTAATTATGTGTGACAATCAAAGATATCTTGCATTTGCCAAGAATCCAAAACACCACTCAAGGACCAAACACATTGATATTCAACATCATTTCATATGAGAGATGATTCAAGATGGAATAATAGGTATGAAGTATTTTGCTACAAATGACATGCTTGTTGATGTGCTTACAAAGGCATTAGTGAAAAATAGACATCATCACTTGATTCAGAGATTAGGATTAAAAACCTTTTGAAAATTAGTAAAGTGGGAGTGTTGAAGATCAACAAGTTCTTACTTAGTTACCACCACATAAAGATTAAGCATAATAAGTTGCTAATAGTCAAAAGGCACCCAAGGATTAAAAGAAGTTACTATGGTGACAGTTAGGGTTTTAAGGTGGCAATTAGGTTAAGATGAATCTAGATCTAGTTAAAAGGATGAAGGTGACTCTAGATGAAGTCTATGTACTTGGGATGTAAACTCCATCTATAAGTAAAAGGTGTTGGAAGTAAGAGATAACTTTCTCCACACTTCTCTTAGAATACAATCCTTGCTGATGCTAAGTGTTTGTAGCTTTTAGACTTCTTTTCTTCAATAAAGAATTCTAGGTAGAATATTTATAATTATTTCTTTTGTAATTATCTTTATGGGTGCGTGAGGAAGCCCCTACAATTGAGATGGCTTCTATTACCATATGGATCTTATGACCACTCAAAGTATTGCAAGTTATTACAAAGTGATACAACAAACCACCAATTCAATTGCCTCTCCACTATAGCCAACACAAGAAACAAATAGACCCAATGTAACCTCTAGGGGGACAAAAACACTACTACTTGGAATAAATTTTTTGCTTTTCTCATGTTGTTGTCGAAAAGAATAGAACATGGATTTTTAGTTTTTCTCTTTGACCTTGCTTGTAGATTTTGTTGTGGGAGGCTTTATAATGTAACTTTGTAACTTTGTGTAGTAGTTTATTTTGATAAGCATATCTTAAGAATGAGGTTGTGTTGATGGTCAAAAAGATCATTTTGTTTGCTGACTCACTAGCAACATGTGTTTATATCAACAATTGGGGATATTGCATCAGTGGTGTATTTAGATTGTCCATTTAGGTTGTTCATTTATTTGCTTGTGCAAATGATATGAACTTGAAACTAATAAATCCTTAAAATGGCAGATATACAAGAAACAATGAAAAAACAGCTAATTCAGTGAAAGAGTGAATAATATAATCGCTACAAGAATTCGCAAGGGTGCAACAGTCTACATTCGCTAGCAAAATAATCCAGAAAAAAAAACACGGTAACAAATAGGATGAAATCTCATTAGCTATCTACTTTGGGAAATTAGTATTCTAACCAAGCTGCGTAAAAAACTAGAACCAAAACCGAAATGCATCCACCGGAGTCCCACTCCAACAACCATGCCCGACTACAATTAACGTGGCCTTGTGAATTACTCAAATACTCGTGTGACTGTGGCATACAACCAAGCTGCACAACAAACTCTCAGTGCTCTTTCATCACACCATGAATGCGGTTTCACACCAATGCGGTTTTCAACCTGCATTGCGGACCGCCACTTCTCTCCTACATTCGTCTTTTAGCTTTCAATCGTGACAAACCTATCCTGCAAACCAAGGACTACCTCACCCAAAAAAAAAGGAAAAAAGAAAACATTTTAAAAAAGAAAGATTAAAAAGAAAGAATCCTCCAATGGCATGCACTTTTCAAATTTACTTCACACCAACTCGACCCCCTCGTGTGCTACCCCGCTTCTTCCACCTCATCCCAACCTCTTACGACAGTGCCACCACCGTGTTGCTCTCCGCCTGATGATGCTCCAGGTTTCGAAGAACCACTCGGGCGAACACTTTGGCCTGCATTGCTGCCGTCGCTGCTGCAGCCACAGTCCGCAGAACCCGACTCGCACCAACCTTCTGCAGCAGAACTGCGTGGTGCAGCGCATGCCTGCCTCCAGGCATCGTGAACTGTGACACGCAACCACATCCCAATCCATCACGCCAAAACCAACCTCCAACCTCGCTCCAACACTTCCTCTCTCTCACGCACATCACTCCACCGGCGAATCAATAACAACCCTACCATCACACCCACCTCGCGTCCCTCACCACCGCTTTGTCCTCTTCATGCTCACTCACACTGCTTACCTGCAGAAGAGCGAATGCCGCACACGATCGCAAAACTGCATGTCCGTTCCTCAACATGGCCACAAACCGCCCGAGCTCGGCTACACTGCAACCAACCCACCCGCACGCTCTTAGCCTCGTCCATACAAACAACACTCCACGCACCGCACTCCACACCGCCCTTCACTATCCGCTACCTCATCACCGCCACTGTCCCATCACCCCGACCGCCTGTCATGCCCACACCCACTCGCGTCCATTCCTTACCACGCGCCCACGTTGCTTCCGCTGCCCATGCATCCAAATCCGTTGCATCTAATTCTGTACCATCCACACATTCACGCCCTACGTACGCATCGCCTACCTGCATCTCAGATGCCCGGCTTCTTGGATTGTGGCGGTCTCCGCGACCTGGTTCAACGTCGCACCGGCCCACGATGACGCAGCAGCTGTCAAAGACTGCGGATCAAAAAACGTTTGCACGAACGCATCGATGTTTCGCAACGCCAGTTTCCTTGCTGCCTCCAAGCTCACTGTCCTCCCGTTGTTCTCCACACTCGACAATCCAACTGCAACCTCATCCATCCTGCGTCAGAGGAGCCCAACTATGACGTCAACCACTCCGATCACGTTCACTCTCCATCACTCCCACTCACTGCTTTGCCACACCCACTCAACCGCTCCAAACGCCGCCCAACCACTTCAAATCATGCACACAAACGCGCGCTCCTACGCACCTCAACCCCCTCCACTTCTCACCCCCGCCCCAACCTCGTCCCAACAACGCAACAGCAATCTCCTCATTCCTAACCGCGCCCTTCTTCCATATCTTCCGGTTCTCCAAAACCACGTCACCCACTCCCCACTGCTCCACTTCACCCGACTCTCCCTCACCGCACCTATCCAACGCCTACGAACTTCCTCCTCCCCGTCTCACGTCATCTCACCACCCCCACGTCCTACGACCGCACCCTCACACACCCACACGCCACCGCTTTACCTGCCATCGAACATGTACGCCAGAGCCAGAGCTGCCATAAACCGCGCCATCTTAGATCTCGACGACGAGCACAAATGCACCAGCGCCGGGACTCCCTCCTCTTCCACCATCCGCAGTGCGTTGCCAGGATTGAAAACCAGGTTCCACAACGCTCCCACCGCTGTTTCATGTACGTCCTGCACTCCCATCGCCGGAAACTTCAGAAACCCACCTCCTAAACGCCCATCATCGTCCCACCACACCGATACCACCACCAATGCCCCGCCACGTACAACCATCTCCCAACCATGGCTCCACACCACGCCCCCTTTCCATTTCCACTACACCCCATTCCTCCCACTCACCCATGCATCCAGCTCTCGCCTCCCTGCACTTTGCACTTTGTATGCCACCACCACCCAGCCTCCACCATCACACCCCAACCACTCGCGTCTAACCGTGTCACTCACATGACATGCACGCTGCGCTAACCAAACCCAAAACCTCGTCCCCCAAAACCCTGCAACTCATCCCACAACTCACCTCAAAATCAGAGTGCGCCAGGGTGATCAGTGGAGCCACTCCGCCTTCGCGCCCGATAGCAATGCTGCGCCACCACGCAAGTTCCCAACACACACACACACACACACACACACGTCAGACACACGGTCATCGCACCACACCCCGTCACCCACCTCCAACCTCTGCTACGCAACCAAAATCCCCATAATCGCCAAATCCAACCCATCGACTCTCACTCCGCGCAATACTTCACACAATCCGCTCCATCCCCGACGACTCTACCCCTGCGACCTTCAACCCACGCCCAACGCTTCCGCCAACAACACCACCTCCCATCGCGCTCAATGCCCTCACCTGTTCGCCTCCGACACAGACAGCCCCCATAATGCACCCGCAGCCCTCTCTTGCAGACCTTGAGATCCGCTGCTACACCCTTGAGCCAAAGCCACCTGCACAACCACCACACCATCGTCATGCACCCAATGCCACCCCCACTCTGCTCCACACCACACCACCGTGCGCCCTTGCCTCAACACAGCCTGTTCACGCCTCGCAAAACCTCGCACAACTCGCCACACGACTGCCCCCCAACCCGATCTCAACATCAACGCACCCCGATCCTACCCTCCACAACCACCCCACGCTCAACTGTCATGCAGCCCCCCATCACTCTACATGTCCGCACTAAGCCTGCATCCTTCATCTTCACCTCCAGCTCTGCTCAACCCCCCGGCCACGCTCTCGAATCACCCCCATTCACCTCTGCCCCCAGAACGCCCCTTTCGTATCTCTTCCTACGCCCACGGTTCGTGTCCACTCTCACTCACCAGTGCCTCCACGCCACCAGCCGCTGCAATAGCTTCTCGGTTTCTGTCGTCGAACGACAGATTCCACAATGCTCCCGCTGCTTCTTGTCTGCAAGCGCCGTCCAAGGGGACGCCCAAAACACTCTTAGAACACCGGCCCATCTCTACCCTCAACCCTTCACATCACCCCTGCACAACAAAAACACCTCCCTGCTGTCCACCACCCCAACAAATCCGCATACCTGACACCTTCATGATTTGAGCAAGTCAGCTGCACCAGAGCTTCCAGCGCGCCTTCCTCCCGCCCTACAGCAGCGTTGTTACCGTTGCTGTCTCCATGAGCCGCAAGATTCGCCAACGCGCGTGCTGCCTATCAAACACAGTTCCAAAACACCAGTCACACCTCGCAACTCGTCACCTCCTCTCCCATTCCGCATGCTCTTCGCCAACGCTGCACCTAAAACCGGCTCCACCGATCGTGCAAACACTCCACTCACGCCCCAAACGCCTCCAGGACCCACACAATGCACTCTCCACTTACGCGCAACCCTCACTATCGTCACGCCCTCATTAATCCTCAATGCTAATCACGCTAACCAAATCCATCCCCACGCAACACCTTCACCGCAACGCCACTGTCTCAATCACTTCTTCTCTGCCAACTCAACCATGTCCTGCACCACTTAACCTCGCAAACCTCCAACCCCTCCTTCCACTCTGCGCCCCTGCCACTCATTCCAAACCCCATGTGTGTGTTTCTCACTCCGCTACCCCCTCATCACGACCCAACCTCAGCCTTCCAAACCCCATCCCCCTTTACCAACCGCTGCTCTCAGCTTCCCGTTGCCTCGTACCTGCTCTTGCACGCCTTCGTGGTTACAAAACCGCGCCAGCCTCACCAGAGCCCGCACACCCCCCGCCACTGCGACTTCCATGCTGCACTTGTCATCGGCTGCTAGGTTGGCCAACGCACCTGCTGCTCTCTCCTGCTATCCGGAAACAAAATGCTCAACGTCAATCCCAACCGCATCCCAACCCCGCTTCCGCTTTCGCCGCTGCACTCTCTCATCTACATGCTCATCACAACCCACCCTCAAACCAACACCAATGCCCACCACCAGCCTTTCCAACACACCTCGCACCACCCCATGCCACACACCAAACGTAGTAGCCTCACGCATCCCTTCTTCCTCTCGCCGCACCACACCATTCATTTCCAACAAGATCCCAACACCCAAATGCCAACCATCACAGCAACCACCCGTCAACCACTCCCAACGTCAAACCTAGCTGTGCGGATCATGCCACAACACTAAAGCTACTGGGCGATGCACGTGCTCACCAGGACACCCTCCCCTCCGGCGGGCCACTTGAATGCCAATCCCACCAGTGCTTCGATTGCGCCTGCGCCAGCTATCGCACCCTGTTTGCATTCACGCCCTCATTTGTCAGTGCGCTACCATGACCATTACCATGACAACCAACCCGACCATCCATCTCCCACCCCCTAACCCCTGGCTCCTCACTACACTCTCCACCCTCCGCTTTCCTCACCGACTCGCACAAACACGTTCCTCTTTTCCAACTCTACACTGTTCCCAACCTCAACATCCGTGCCGCGCCCTGTCCCTTCCACAACCCCGACCTCCCACACCACCTGCCTTCCTCACCCCTCGCTCTACAATGTCCACACCGACGCGCTCACACCACCAATTCGCAGCAAAACACTTCATCGCAATTGCCAACCACAGCGCCTCACCTTGTGCTCCTCTCCCACCGACAGATTCCATAAACCCCCCGCCGCCTCCTCAGCAACCCACCGGTTCCGGGACCTCGCCAAACCAGCCAGGATACTGATGCCCCCTTCCAAAGCAACCCTTTTCGCAACCTCCGTGTTCACGGACAAATTTGCGATGGCCTGCACCAACCAACCCAACAGCTACCAGTCAGTCCAACTCCCCACAGCTTCTGCACCCCACACGCACTGTGCCCGCATGCGACCCACACTCCCACAAACATCAACCCATTCCGCAAATACCACCATCGTCGTCCACCTGCTCTCCCCCGACCCTGCTCCACCCCACGCTCCACAACTCACGCAATACCCCCGCTACCCTACAATCCTTCCTGCGCACACGCCTGCCTTGTGCACACTCACACTCCACTACATTCCCCACCAACCCCCCTACCTTCGCAGCTTCCGACTGCACCCCCTCGCGGCAAGACTTCGCCAGCCCCAACAGCAGCGCGATCCCGCCCCCGTTCATCACAGCTTCCGCCCGCGCAGAATCTACAGTCGCGTTCTCGTCGTCCACCACTACAAACGTCGCCAAAGCCGACGCAGCCCTCTCCTGTACATCCTCCTGCGCGCTTTGAACCAGTCGAAGCATCATCGCGATCCCCTGCTTCAGCAGACTCGGTGCATTGCACTCCGCGATCTTCAAAACCGCATGCGACAACATCCACTCCGTCCACTTCGCCACTTCCGAATCCGCGCGCGCGCGCCCGCCGCACCTCGACCTCGCGCACGAGCCTGCCTCCTCCTTCCAATTGCTCGGGCTCAGCAAAGCATCCAACCCTTCCATCACATCCGTGAACCGAGCCAGCACCACCGTCTTCTTCGACGACGGCAGTGTCACGGGGTTGCTGCCCTCCTCCAGAACAGGGCAGTTCAGAGCGCAAACCACCCTCAGCTCGGGCCCTGCCAGGACCTGCATCAGCGCAGTCGGAGTGATATCTGTCCGCGAAACATCCAGCCCTGCCAGGTTCGGCAATTTGCTCCACCAATGCGCCGCCGTGCTCCACACTATACACCTGCATCCCGCTACCGACAAAAATCGCAGGCTGCTCGCACCCCCGAACGCCCCTTCGTCGATGGTGTGACTGTCCAGGAACCCCAGCTCCGTCAGACCCTTGCAATGCTGGAACAACGCCTGGATGGCGTCTCTCTCCACTTTTAGGACGCCCGACACGCACAGCCGTCGCAATTTCGGACAACACACTGCAATCACCTTCAATGCCTCGCTCGTCACTCTCTCGCAATCCGAACCCAGCAGCAAGCTCTCCAGGTTCGCATGCCGGGCGACCACCATGGACAGGGTTGCATCCGACAGCTGGCTGCAGCAATCGCCGCTCAGCTCCCTAAGCCCCTTCGCCTGCAACCCCACAATTGAGCTCGCAGAGGCACCTCTGCGGAACTTCAGCGCCTCCAAATTCGAGCATCGTCCTGCCAGCGCAGACACCATCTCCGAATTCAACGAGTGCGACCGAAGATCCAGCGAATTCCACAGCGATGGCGAGCTCCCCAGCACCTGCCATCCCTTGCACACGGACGCAAGGCTCGCCCTGTCCCTGTGGTTCAGCAGATTAAACAACCCAAGCACGGTTTCATCTGGAAGACTTGTCCAATGCGCATCGCGACCCGCGTCACTTTCAACACCTGATTCTGTAGCCGGCACCGCCGGTGCACCACAAGTGGACGCCGCCGACGATGTCGGCGACGATGTTATCCTGGCTTTCTTATATACAACAGCCTGCTGCTGCTCCTGATCGTCCACCGCCACATTGACATTGCGCCGCCGCTTGTTGGACATGTCATCAGCTGCTCCTCCGATGATCTGTGTCATTTGCATGCGCACCGCGCATGCACCATCTTCGTGCCGTCACTGCTTCGTCATCACCCACACAAATTGCCGCTTCAACCTCTCTTAGGGTTGCCAACTCCCAATATCCGCGCCGATTATTCCTTCCACTCCGCGCACTCTGCAATTCCTCCGTCCTCGCCCATCAGAACGTCACCCGCTCCTGCACGCAATCAAAGGTCACATCCCCCGCTTCGTGTTCTACCTATCCTCAAGCATTGCATCACGCGGCCCAAATCGAATATATTCTTGCTGCATAACCCTGCACCGATCTACACCTCCCCTCTTCCTCGAAAGAAACCATCCCCTGGCGGCATCACCCACAATCATCCTTGAATACTAAGCAGCCACCACCGAAACCAGCCTCAAACCCCAAACTGCGGCATCATTCTTCACTTCCAACCGAAAAGACGCGGGCAAGCAGCATGGCATCGAAGAGGGAAGAGAGCAGATGAGAAGAAACGGAAGAGCGGAAGCAGGAAGTAGAGAGAGAAAGAGAAAGAAAAAGAGGGGGTGTGGCGAGAAGGGAGGAAGCGCTAAGGATTGCGGGATAGACACGGGAGGGGGAGGGGGAAGGGCAGGCGTAGCGACGACGAGTGAGAGCGAGAGCGAGAACAAGAGCAAGAGAGCGTGGGACACGAATGAGAAACAGCAGACAGAGTGAGTGAGTGAGTGAGTGAGTGAGGGAGCGAGCGAGTGGGGTTGAGTTTTTCCTGCAGAGAGAGTCTGTTCCATTCTTCATGGAGGAGGAAAGAAGCTTTGGTTTTCATGTGGCAGCTTCCTCTTCCTTCCTTCCTTAGGGAGTCCACGACCACCCCCCCCCGCCGCTCTTCTTCTTCTGCGTCCTCCTTCTCGTCGTCGTCGTCATCCCTGTGTCGCCTTCGTCGCCTCTTCCTCGCTGCTCGCTGTTTTTGTGTTCCCCTGCGTTGACCGATGACCGCCTGCCCTTCTCGCCCAGAAAGGCACCCTATAATTGGCGCCCTTTATATTTCTCTTCTTCTTTTTCTTTTCTTTTCTTTCCTTTCCCTTTCTTCTGTTTATTTCCTTTCTTTGCCCCGTCTGGAATCTGGAATCAATGCCACCACCGCGGAATATGGAATCTGTGCCCACTTCAACACACCCACCACCCCTCAAGGCTGATTACCCCATTTGCTTCCCTTCCAAATCTGTGTGCATGCCTTGTCCACCTCATGCTCACAAGCCAATCAGAACTCGTCTGTGTTTGTGTGTTGCAATCGTTTGCTTCACCCCCTTCCACCTCTGCTCTTTGTGCGTTTTGGTTTACATCGGTGGTTTTTCAGTAAATTGTCTCTGTTTTGTGCACGTTGTGCCCACGATATGGGTTCGTATCTTTTGATGGGAACAAAGGATTTGACGAGTGCAAGTCCGAGAGTACGGGCAGGGAGGAACTGAAAATTGCACTGAACTGTATAAGAATACATGCGTGGCTGAGATGCACGGAGTCGTGTTCGTAATTCTCAGTAGTTGCGACACTCGAGAGGGATGTTTAACATGTTCTCTGTGGGATTTATTTTTATGCATATGCATGATTTATATTTATTTTTATGCATATGTTGTTGGACTTATTTTGATAAATTCGAGAAATTAAAGTAGTATAATTCTTAATGTTCTCGGCTGTCACAAGCTGGTAATAGTACTCTCTTTTAGAAGGCATTTATCTCAGGGAAGCTGTTGTTGTTGTTGGAGTTGACTTCGCCCTTGAACGGCGTCTGGTAAGAACGGAAATGAAGCTCTGATGACGAACAAGAAAGTTGTTCTCTCGGTTTCGTTGACCATGTTGGACCGTCGTTCGTCGCGATGAGGCAGTGCCAGAACCCAAAATTTGATGGACTTCGCTCGGAAAGTTCTCTGTAGTGAATTGCACTCTCCTACTTTTTCACGTTGTACCTGCGCCAGGAACTTTTTCGCCGTAAACTCGCCAGTGCTTGTTGGGACCGCGAGCACGCACAATGCTTCATTCTGTGTGAGAATGCTGGAGCTTTTCAAAGCAGTTGTTTTACAAAATTGGGTCAGGTGGACTTTATTCTCTGGGATTAACATCAATCACGAAAGCGAGAGGGAGGAAGATCGAGATGGGGAGAGAGATCGGTAGTTCAAAAGGCCTTTGCTCTCCAGGTTCGCATGCCGGGCGACCACCATGGACAGGGTTGCATCCGACAGCTGGCTGCAGCAATCGCCGCTCATTTCCCTAAGCCCCTTCGCCTGCAACCCCACAATTGAGCTCGCAAAGGCACCTCTGCGGAACTTCAGCGCCTCCAAATTCGAGCATCGTCCTGCCAGCGCAGACACCATCTCCGAATTCAACGTGTGCAACCGAAGATCCGACGAATTCCACAGCGACTGCGAGCTCCCCAGCACCTGCCATCCCTTTCACACGGACGCAAGGCTCGCCATGTCCCTGTGGTTCAGCAGATTAAACAACCCAAGCACGGTTTCATCTGGCAGACTTGTCCAATGGGCATCGCGACCCGCGCCAATTTTAACACCTGATTCTATAGGGGGCACCGCCGATGCACCACAAGCGGACGTCGGCGACGATGTTATCCTGGCTTTCTTATAGACAACAGTCTGCTGCTGCTCCTGATCGTCCACCGCCACATTGACTTCGCGCCGCCGCTTGTTGGATATTTCATGTGCTGTCCCTCCCATTAATTGATTATACTACATACTTTCCAAACTTGTTCCAGAAGTTGAGAAGCAAAATCGTTGAATATTTTTCAGTGGTACTGGTTTTATAATGACCTCATGTTTCTTGTCCCATGATCAATCTGACTGTTGCCTCTAGTTGATCGCTCCAATCCAGATATCACTTTGAATCCACTATCCTGCGCCCCCTCATATCTATGCCCCAACTTCTTTGTTTCGGATCTTCGCAAACTTCGAGATGAGCCGTTGTGGTGTCGTTTTCTCCTCTCACTTCTCCGTTTTGAACTATCGTGTGGCTAGTTTGAAATTTCGTGTTGAAGAAACGGGATATCCATCTGCGTATTACTTTGACCGGGCACTCTGAAGCATTTGTCCTACGTTGCAGAGAGACGCCGAATTCAGCCAGCAATATCTTCGGCAACGCGTCACAGGTCAGGAGGACACTTTGAGTACGGAAATTTGAAGTAGTCAACGGGAAGAAAATTGGCATCCATACTGCCCAAATGAAGGTGTGTGGGGAGAGAATTACGAGTAGGGGTAGTGGGAGAAAGAGAAAAAGCTTTGCGGACGGATTCAGCGTTTCCAAATGACGAGCCTAACCGAGCGAGATTGCTAGGGCATGGTCTGTCCGAATGCTCACTAACAAGTTCACTCGGCGTGTAACCGCTAATTCCAGTGTCGACGGAGACCTAACGGCACAAATTCGAATCTACCCACTTGCTTCCCCAGACTTTTCAGCACCAACTGTCTCTGCGGAGTTGAAAAGCCCTCAACCACGAAAACATCACTCAGGCCACAAGACATTTGGATCAAGCCTTCCACTGTCAAACACTCGTTCCGACCGGAGCCAGTCGTCGTGATCGTTCAAACTCTCGTCTCTACTCTCTCCCGAACACATCACACCAGCTCTCAAGCTCAAGAATCAGGGTGACAAATTTCCCGTATTGGAATCTCCGGAACCTGGAAACTGCAATCCAATCTCTGACACCCACCGCTACGCACCCACTAACGTCCCGGCGGCTATCGCCTACAGTCCGTTCAGTTTTGAGTGACTAAAAGTTTTCACTGCAGTAGCGGCGTGGTGGTGGAAACAGGTGAGCTAAGTAAGCTAGAGGTTAATAACACAAAGAGCGTTGCGGCAAGCCGGTGTGCTTAGTGTGTACAGTCCGTTTTGGTTTGGGTAAGATGTTGCAGTACCTGGACTTGGTCACTCTTTGTGCGTGATTTGCACCTCAGTTTGTCGGGGGGCAGAGCCACAACGGTGAGAGCTAGAAATCATTTCACTGCTTTGCTTCTCCTGATGCTATTCTAGGATTATGAGCTCTGTAAGCTTTAATACCGATGATAGGTCCGTTTGGTGGTTTGTGAGGAGGTAGTGTTTGTCGATGGTGTCTGCTGCGGCTGGAAGAGTGCAGATGTGGCTCAGCGAAAGTGGCGTGGATGGGTCCTGTGTGTTTTTGTTTTTATTGTATTTTTTGTTTTTGTTTTTGGAGTTTTTTTTATTTTTTATTATTTTATTTTTCTCGTTCATGTGAACATCAGTGATGGTGTCCTTGCAATGTTTGTCATGCGTTTTATTGTTGTGGTGTGAGTGGTACCCCGCTGGTCTATAAATAAAGGCTGTGGACATGGAGTCTTCTGTACACTGGTTTGTACTGAGAACTGCTTCTGAGCTGTTTCCAAACACTGTTAAGTATCATACACTCACATAGGTATTCCATGTGTGTGTATATATATATATATATACATAAACATTTAAGGGAATGTTAAATAGACCTAAGTTTTTACTAAATCAACTTACCCATCCTAACCATTATGAAAATAAAAAATGACCTCTGGATTCATTTCTCCACTATTGGAACTACAACAAATAAAAAACCAACTATATTCATCATGATTACCATATCTTTCATCAAAGGTGAGTCTATTTAATAAAAGTATGGTTCTATTTAACGTTCCCCATATGTATATGTATTATATGTATGAATGCATAATACAAAAGTAAGTTATTTACAATCACAATGGTACTTGGTTCAACAGTAAATTTGAACACGAATACATTTTTGATTTTTTCTCATCTTGAGTAAATATAAGCAAGTCAATATTTATATCACATGACACATATTTCCAATTATTAATTTTTTCAAAACTATAAATAAAACTTCATGATTTTGTTGAAGTCCTCTCATATTTGATTTCTTCATAAATCTTGAAAGTTTCTATTCAATTACCCAAGTTCACATACAAGAGTTTTTTTGAGCTTGTACAAACATTCGCAGTTGCATTAAAGCAGCTAAGCTTGTTTGGATTGATATGTACACTTCTAAGTACTCTTGCGACTCCAACCACATGGTTATTTTGATTTTTTATTTGATTCTTGACGTCTTTAGGTTTCCATATTTCTCTCAATGAGTAGCATTCATGTGCTAGCACTTTATCCTTAACTCTCTGTGTAATGTGCAATATGTGTCTTCAACCTCAATGCACACATTAAAACCAAATAAATGAACCAAATATATTGTCTTGGTATCAGATTATTTTCATTTTAAATTCAATTTAAAATGAAATTCATTTTCGAATTATATGATTCGGACCTTTGTTCCAAATCTAAGCATGTGAATATTTAATAAATATTCTACAGCAAGCTTTAATTTAAGCGTTTTAAGAAAATAAGAAAATAAGAAACAGACGTGCAAAATAAATACAAATAAACAGAAGAGGAGAAAATAAAGGAAATAAAGTCTTCTATTTGCAGAATATTTTTTTTTGCATAAATATTTATTATAACTTTATAAATTTGTATTCATATCTTATATCATTTGTGGTTTTTCAAAGTGAAAATCAATAATTTTTGATCTGTTTTATTTTGTTTGTTTTTGTTTTTTGTGTTTTGTGTTTTTTATTTTTTCAGATTTGAAAGTACTTCTTCCTTTAAGACCCAATCGAATAACATCAAAGAAACTAAATGCAATAAATAAATAAATAAAAATCAGCAATGTTGATCATCAATCATTTCAATTGTAATGTAATGTGACATCAATATCAAGATAGAGAAATTTCGCATAAGTAGAATTCAAAAAGGAATTTAC